CCTACGGCTGAATCACAGGCATTCAGAAAAAATCCTCAGCTAATGGCATCACGTTTGATTATGTGTTGTTACATATTTCGGACATGTAACTGTACTTATTTCAATCAAAACATAATAGATTAAACACTGTCAACATTACAAAAAGGAAAACCTATGAATATAGTGTTGTGCTTTTAACATCAGTACTAACCTCTATAAACTTTAAATTTCTTCAACCTTTTATGTTCAAAAGCAGTAAGTTTTCATGTTGTCAATTTAAAGAAGTCTCTTATTTCAGGATAGAGTAGCACATGAAGCAGCTGGAAGGAGAGCCTGGGCTCAGGCACACCCGATTCTGTGTGTTTACACAGCCTCAGGTCTGTTGTTGGAGGCAGAGGTCAGACTTTATTAAAAGCACGGAGAATGCCTTYTGATAACAGACAGTAGTTGCATTTCTGAGGTCAGTGCACATYAAGAAATGTCCTGCAACACTTGTTCCATGTGGAAACTGTAAAAGTATTATCAACACAACATACATGATTACAAATGGGACACAATTGGGTAGATTTAAACACAAAGATTTGCAGCTTTTTAGCAGTAAACAGAAATACACATTTAGATAGTTGTAATATTTTTTTGTTTTGTTATTTACAATTTGAATGCCTGAAAAGAACATTATGCTGCAGTAATGTACATCACATGCTCACAAATACAAGTCTTTCTAGTTTTTATATTTCCTTAAACAGTTTTATTTATCAATTTATTGCTACTATAACCATGTGTATAAGTACAGCTTTACTTAAAATCTAGCCTGGCCCTTGCCTTCCTACGCAGTTCTGCTCAATTCTAGTTTCCCTTCTCTGCTCTGTCTGGGCTTTCTCCCATAGACAAGGATTTCTCCGGTAGAATTTTAACCAGGCCAATCAGCACACAGAAGGAGAAGTTTTGAACGACGACGTCGMTTTTCTGCACTGTTTCAGTCTGTCTGTAGTTTAGCAATGGCAGCAGAGGAAGTAAATGAAGCCATTCAGACCATGTTGAAGGCTTCCAAATTAAATAAAATTTGTCTCAGCCTGCAGCACTCATGTACAGCCTCTTTGTTCGGCTCTGTTTTTCTCTCTTCCCAGTAGGGGATGGTTGCTTACAGCGCACACAATTTCCGATTAGCTTCTTAGCTTAGCCTCCTTCACAGTAGAACTTTAGCGCCGAATACATCACGGCCAAAAGTTAGCGACTGGGTAAAGTCAGATCCAATCGTTTTAAACTTCAACAGCACGCACGTCTCCATCAAGCTATCACTTCTGAAAAAACGAGAGTCCTCTGAAGCAAAGCAAAGAACAAGGGTCTGGTTTTTACTAGGCTACTTCAGTTTTAAGATTCAAAGATTCTACGTGTCATATAAACAGATGAAACATGTTTCCCTGAGCAATGAAATTCTTACTTTGCCACCCACAGTGAGTGCCAAGAGACAACCAGAAGCAAAGAAAACATGCACTTAAAGGATACTAAAGAAAATAATAAGGGATAAAGGATAAAAAGACCGCACTTGAAACAAACAAACAACAAAAGAGACTAAACTAGAGATAATAACATCAAAAAAAGGGAACAGTACTATCAGTGTTTGGAGTGTGTGCAAAAGTGTAGATGTGCAACAGGTAACAGTCTGAAATGTGCACATGTGCAGTATTAAGTCAGTAAAAGAACAATAAGTTAAGAACAATAAATTATGTTTTAGCTGAAATTTGTTTTAAATTCTCATCATCACCCAAACGTGATTTAACATGTTTAAATATTTTGGAGCTTATCTATAAAATAAAGTTTTATATGATTTATTTGGTTTGTATTTGTGTATAAGGAAAAGAGTAGCTCATCATAACTTGATATGGAGGAAAGGTTTTATAAGGTGCAAAGGATGGGGTATACACCGATGGTAGAAAAACAGAAAGTCATTTTTTAGTCTTCAACAGAACTGCAGCTTTTAAAGAGGAAAAACAACTTCACAAAATGCATCCWTCATTCCTCTCTCAGAGCAAACCAGCTAAATTTTCATTTCATAAGAGCCTATCAGATCAGAAGTTAAATTCAAATAAATATTCCCCATTTATGAATGATCAGATGTTGTAAACACGTCTTGCTCATGTTTGCTTTCCTATTATTAAATTTTATCCATTAAAGGTCTGGCATGTGAATCTAATCTATTGCCAGTCTACTTAGTTGTAACCCAGAATTTACCATAATCTGAAATCAGAATTAAAATTTTAGAGGTTAACATTTGAGAGAAAGCTTCATAATTCATCCACAAATGCTGCTTCTTCACCATTACTGAATTCCAGTGTAATATTGCCAGATAATGTCAAGGTTTGTTTATAATTTATATTAAAGGGATAGTTTAGATTTGTGGACCTGAAAATCTGAGATGGTTATGATTGGAAATTGTAGAAAGCAGCAGTAATCTACTTTGGTCTTGGCTTATTTATTTTAGCCTGCCATTTTTGTGGAAATAAACTCCATTTTTCCAAACTGAGGCCAGTTTAAAAGCCATGGACAAGTAAGGTATTAATTGTTTATAATCAACCCACAGAACTCCACTTAATAAAAACTATCATTTTTATTGGGTATTTGACTTTTTGGCTTCTAAATAAAAGCTTGTCTTTGGTGTGTAAATATGAAAAATCTTCTAAAAAACTGGAAGGAATAGGCTCATTTGATAGGGAGGCTGAAAGTACAACAAAACTTAAAAGTGAGGATGATGAGTGGTAAGAGGGCGGCAACGGGTCAAAATAAAAACATTTTAACAACTTTCCAGTCTTCTCCTCCCACCCACTGTGCTAAATGACTCTAAACGGGGTTATTCTCAGGGTAGGCAGCTCTTAAGGCCTTTTATGTCCATCCAGTAATTGTCAGAGGCCAATCCAGAGGAAATCCCTCTTATTCTAGTAAGCAGATAGGATCACGGATGTTGCTTCTTTCTCTTTGGCCTCCAAATGTGAAAAGGAAAAGCACACAAAAAAATTAATAAATAAATAAAAACATTAACTTCTCTTTATGAGTGTGTGTGTTTRGGAATTATCATCTTGAACCGTTTCTAAATGTTTTTTATAGTACCACTTTGCTTTTTTGTAGAATAAACTTGACAGATATAAAAGCTTTTAAACAAAAGTGACAACATAAAAATAAGTTGTAAAATAAATGCCTAGCAGTCTTTGAAGGAATGCATATTGTAGTTATTTACCGTTGCTTTTCATCTGTTTCTGCACTTCTTTATTCCCCTTTTTAAATCCAGTACTGTCAAAAACCTGAGAGTTGTTCAGACTAACATTGCTATCATCTGAAATCCAGTGTGCCACAGTCATGTTCCTCCCTTTACGCTTCAGATTTTCACATAGTTTCATATTAACTCAAACATCTGACATTTGTTTTCTGATAAAGATCAAAGTTGTACTGACTCAAGAATCTGAACCTTTTCTGTTGCAAATATTTTGAAACAGAAAATGATCCAAGGTTAGACCTACAGTACGTCTGCCCTTATTATGAACTCAATAAATCACATTGCACTGGATTTTGAAAACAGTGTAGCTACGCTCATAACAGATAAGAACTGGCTGATCTATTGTATTGTTATCTAGCAATGACGCTACACAAGACTACACTGGAAGACCTTGTCAAAGCATCGTGTGCTCATCAAAGTGCACTTTTTACTTAATGCAGTTTTGATTTACAGGTTGACAGATGTATCAATTTACTGGGACGTTTAATAAACATTAACAATTATTTGATAGTAACTCTTGCATGGTTGGATATCTTGGAACATAGATCTCCTCCTCTGAAGACAAACTCCAAGATATGAATTTTTCTATACGTCTTTCTGACGTCAACATCTTCTCAGACATTGGTAGACATTCTGTCTCCATCCCCAACATGATTTAAATGGGACTTTAAGACTTTGGACTTATAGTTAAAGTCAGATGTTTTCAACCAATCATCACGCACATGAGTGTACCGGTTATATTAATATGGTGCCTTTACTTATTTTCCCAGGATGGAATAATTGTTCAACTTAGGTTCAATGATTTTGACAAACAATAATTYGGTGTACAACCTTAAATTTATTGTGGATTTCCTCTAATCCACACAAGTTCAAAATTATGCATACTTAATATACAAAATAATGTCCTCTGTGCCTGTTGATAATAGATTCACTCAACCACACATTTTGTTTCTATGAACCACCTTCCGGCATAATTCAGGCAAAAGATTTTACCACGTCTCCTGGCAGATTGGTAGTTAATTAATTAATTAGTTTTTTGTGTTAATCTGGCTTTAAGTAAAGTTCAAAACTTTTCAACAGGATTGAGGTCAGGGATTTAGGAAGGCCATTCCAGAGGAGCAGGCCTCATTCTTAGGATTTCTGACCACATGATCACATATAAGTAACCCTATAGCTTTGGTTAAAGATCCTCAGACAACCCCAAATTATGTTTGATATTGTTTAACAGGTATTAATGTGATCTATTTAGTTTTCCTTTAAAAAATAATTAAAATAAATAAGATCAAGACTAAAACATTAACAGCAGCTGGTAGCAAAAGTTTCCTAAAAGCATCTCAGTCCAACTGAGTTCTTACAGCTCTATAACCTGAGCAGGACAAGCTCCACAAATACAGTTCCTAATAARGCCGGTGAAACAACACAAGCTTAATCCACACAACAATGACCCCCGCTGCCCAAAAATAAACAGGATTAAATTAGTGAGGACAAAGAAAATGCTAAATCAACTTTTTTGGGCTTTATATCATGTTATGTCATTCCTTCATCATTAACATACTGTGTTGCTTTGACTCATTCATCTTTGAACCTGCAGCTATTCTGAGCTGCCTAAACACTTGATGGTACAAAGCACCATTTGTGCCTACCTGCCCCACAGATCACCCCTCACCCGAAGCATTGTTGGGAAGATGTGCTGAAGTGGGAGTGTCTGAAATGGTAGGAGGTTCTTAAAGAGACAGAGACCAATTTCAAGGAGTTTAAAAAGGCTATGATGCAAAGTCAAATTTATTTGATATATACAATATCTTCATAATTGAAGGTAACATAGTTCAATTTTATACCATAATCAAGTAACTATGTGCCTAAAAATAGATAAGCCCCCTTAAAGAGGTCTGATGTAAATAAACCTGGAACCCTTTAAAAACCTTTTCAGAAATTTTATATTTTATGCTTCTTGTTTCAACCCACATGATGGTGCAGCTGTACAAAGTAAGAAGAAAATGATGCATGCATTAATATTTTTGCCATGTACAGTTTTAGTGATGTTTTAATCTAAATGAACACTTAATATGTATAATAGAAAATTTTATTGATACAAAGATAAAGGACAAACAAATACTTTAAAGCTAAATGTCAGAACATCAATCAAAAACAATAAGGTAGAAATGACGCCAATCATAATATTTTTAGAAACGACGGCTCTGGACAAAACAGATTTTGTTCAGACAAAACTAATGTCTAGACTTTTTTCTCGGATTCTTCTGGCGGAGGGGAGACTGCACGTTCCACTGCCTCGATCTAAGAGCTCTGAAAAGTAAGCAACTGAGGATTAAAAACAGAAAAAAAGATGCTTCATTTGTAAGTAAAAAGGAAAAACAAGAATTATGTATAAAAAAAGACAGACTAAAGTGTTTTCCACCTTGCCTTTGTTTTAAACTGAACTTCAAACTTTAAGCTAAACAGTCATCATAAGCATGCACAGTCAATCTGCACATGCTCCCTGCTCCTTCCTGTCGTTTGACCAATAGGACAGTAGCTGACAAAAGAAGGACCGCCCACCTTATTTACATAATGAGGCAGAAATGCATAAGGTAATGTAAATACAGGAGACAGAGAAATGTAAAAGCAACACATGGAAATAAAAAGACTTGTGGGACAAAATATAAAAAATAATTAAATAAAATCATTTAAAGAGACACAGATCTGCAAGTACAAGGAAAAACAAAAAAATATGTATTTTTAAAAAACAGTAAAACGGAAATGATGTGCTAAAATATATAATTTATTAGAACTAAGCTGGAAAAATAAATGATCAGTTAAATAATAAAACATGTAAAGTTCTCATTTTTTATTTAATTGTCGCATTTTCGGTGTATTTATTTATTGGTCTATTTATATATTTCTGCTTTTATTTCTAATTATGTCAGTTTCAGTCCTCCATAAAGTTTGACTCAGTAAATGACTTACTGTTCGTTGTTACTGTCGCTAGGACCACTGGTGTCAGCGTTACCACCTGTGAGGACACAAAACACACGTTTGCCTGGTGTAGCTAAAAAGAAATAAAGTTTCCTAATAAACAATACAGATTTCAGTCTCATGATGTCCAGACCAGTGATGAAGATGAAGTCTTACTTGTTCCAATATCACTGAAGATTGCGCTTAGTCCTTCGCAAAACGTTAAGCTTATGTTGACACCTGAAAGAAAAAGTAAAGAAAATATTTTATGTGTAAAGCTGTCGTTCGAACAGAAAAGATGCTGTTCATATTGATGGACTGAAGATGAAATTGAGCTGCAAATTCAGTAAAAATATATTTATATATTTATTCAAGTGTTTCACTAAGGTTTTATCGCCTGATGCTATAAGAAATAAATCAATTAATCGCACAATAAGTTAAATGAGGTTAATAATTTGCATTTGCCTGCTTGTTTGTTTTCTCATGTTTTCCTCTTTTCTACTCCTTAGCATAGGGAGGAGTGAGCTCTCTCATCAGGTATTTGTCAGGCGCACGGTGTTGTAACTTCTGTAGCATGAGAGCCCCAACAACAGGCAATTAGCTAGAGGAGCATCTTCAGATTTCTGATTTGTGTTTTCAGCTGGCGACGCCTCAGGACAACCTGCGCTGTGCTGAACCTCGGGTTCGGGAACAGTCGTTTTTTTATTACACTCAAAAAGTTTTGTCAACTTCGTAAGCAGCGTGCATGTGAACACAGTGATTTCATGAAGCCAGAGAATGAGGCGTGAATTATAAATTGTGCTGGCTTGGACAGAGGTGAGTAGCAATGTTACAGCTTCAGTAGCTGTTGTTGTGTGTTGTTTTTAAAAACTCTGTTACTGGTCTGTTCGCAACCTGACATAAATTTTGTGAACTTGTGAGCAACTTAAGGGTGATCACAATAACTTTAGGAAGCCAGAGGAAGACACAAAGAGTAAATGGCGCCATATTTGGATAGAGGAAGATTTTACTGTTGTTAGGGATGGGCATAATCGTATCGTGTGCAATTAATCGCCAGAAAAAACAATAATCGGTTATTTTTTGGCACTTGACGATTAATACAATTACTGCCAGCACGCAGACTGACTGAAGATTTCTCCAGTCAGTCCGCTTGGTGCTCCTCTCRGCTTCGAATATGACAAACATTTAAAAAATTTCTGTAATTTATTTATCTACAAACACAATTTAAAATTTGATGTATAGCCTGGAGTGTGTAATTTTGACACAATTTGGAACAGATTTTTATGAAGAGCAAGTCTTTCCCACTAAATTGGTCATGTGACCAGGACATAAGTGTGTCCAGGGACTCCAGGGGATTAATCGTCAAATGAATTATCTGCTAAAAACCACAATTAATCGTGATTTATTTTTTTGCCAATATTGCCCAACCCTAACTGTTGTGTCATTTTCCCAATCTCCGCTCCAGGTCAGGTTATGATCTCCAAACAATAAATTATCTCAGTCATTTCTGAGACAATTTATTGTCCAGCAAATTTGTTATTGTGACAGGCCTACATGTGGGACTTGTTGCGTTTGGTAAAATGTCAACAATTACTTCACAGACTTTTAAAAGGAAACCATGTTTAGAGATAAAAGCTGCAAATTTTCTATTTGAATGTTGTTCAGCACCTCGTGCTGATGGACGTTTGTGTTAACGATGGCATGGACTGAATCCCTGATGTATGATGGGATATAATGTTGTTGTATAAGTTTTGTTGACTCCTACCTTTAGGTGTGCTGAAGGCTCTGTTGTTGGCTGCTCCTTTTAGAATCACTGCAAATACAATCAGAAGAAAAACACAGTCAGCACAGCAGAACATCCCTCCAGTCAGATGTTTGATTTAAACATTCTGTAGAGCAGGACTATTCAACTAAATTACTCCGGGGGGCCACAGTTACTGCAAATCAACAGCTGAGGGGCCGAACATCAAGTAGTTAGTCATTATGTAAATAAACTAAGTACTACAAAGACCGGTTACCTTTGAAATAGTTTATTTTGCTGCATTTAATTATGAATACAACATAGAGAAACCTATGTAATAAAAGTAGTGATAAGAAAACAAAAACAAAAATAAATTATGCCTCTTATTTAACAAATATTATTTTGACATCTGAGTTGCCAAATTTTTTAATCAATTTTATTTTCACTTTCATAGTTTTATCTTCAACTGCTTGTAGTTTTAACTGTCTTGAGTGTT